TAACAAATATTGATACGAGTTGAAACCACAAAGAATAGAAAGATTACATTAAGTGACCATATTCCAGAATTCATATCGTATGTCCAAATCTGTAAATGTTAAAAGTATAGTAAATTGATTTACGTGTAAAATTTTTATGTTTAAATTTTTTAGGCAAGTATAAATACATACTTTATTCATATCTGCAAGCTTGGCAGTACCATCACTATGAATTTCTTTCCCACCGATCAAAATGAGTATTTCATTATGTATTGTCAATGTATGGCCTGCTCTTTTTGTAGGGGCATATCCAAAGCTAAATGAATAGTATCTAAGACAATAAAGTTATTAAAATAGATAGATTCGGATGAACCAGTAGTTGCATCAGATAATCCACCAAATATATATATTTTTTCATCATCAGGATTTACAATGGAAGTTATTTCTTTACGCCTTTGTGGAGAATGGCCAGAAATCTTTGGAGAAGACCAAATTTGGTCAATTGTATCAAAAGTATAAACTAGCGAATTACTAATTTTATCATTTGAATCAAACGTTAAACCACCAATTAAAAATATTATATTATTATTGGATCCACCCAATGAAGCACTACACCATGAATTACTAACTGGGGCAGGTGAAGTTGTAGAAAGATCCGTCCATTGTGGAGAAGAAGTGTCAAAAGGAACAGATAAATCGAGAAAAAATAATTCTTTTGAAACGCCAGCACCGTTTTGGCTATGAATAATCTTGACGTTAAAAGAATTAACAAAAACATATACATGGGAATCATAATTGACAGAAGTTTAAACCTAGTCAATCATTCATGTATACTTATGGACTTCTTCTTATTTACATAGCTTTTTTTCCGACAACTTGGAATGAAAACTAGTAAACGGCGGTGTATGTTGCATATAATGTGTGTATATATATACATTTCCATATATATAGGTGCTACTGAAGAAAAATGTTTTCAGATCTTTCTCTTTTGGTAAATTCTGTCTTAAAATAAAAATCAAATTTAGAGATAAGTAATTGCTACCATAAGCCTAATTAAAATCCAGTGCTACAATTTTTGAATCATATGATGCATCGGTGATGTTGTTAGTAAACTTACTGTCATATTTGCATCATCAAAGTAATACTATGTACATAGCACCTATAAACCTTAACATCAAAGTTATACCACATCGAAACTACGTATAAACTGCACTTCTGACTGTAAGTACAAAAGTGTACTAATAATAGTTTTAATTTCTATTTTTTATGCTATCATTTTTCTATCGTTATACATATTTGAATTAAAATTTTTGTACTTCT